GTGACGGCCACTGGGAAAGGGGTTCTCCCCTGTGTTCTTGTATTGAGATAGTCATCTTGGCTATTTTCCTCTCTGAGAGCTCCTGTAGAGCCCCGGTAGTGCTCCTGATGATGTTTGCAAGTATGGTGACCCTGGTCAGGTGATGCCGGTTCCTCCAGAGCGCTGTGCAACACTAGCCAGACTTTCCTACCGGATTCTAAACAATCACTTGTTCACACCTTGGGTTTCACCGGCCCGATTCTAAAGTCTAAGACCTGTGGTAAACCGAGGAAGAAGAGAGGGTGGAAGAAGGGGAGGACTTTAGGAAATGATTTTTAAAAATCCTTTAAAATGACGGATGAAAGGAAACCGAAGGAAGCCTGTTGTGCTCCCCTGTTATCCCTTGCAAGTGTCTTAATCACTACCAGCCTCCACCAAGAGATGATTACTCTTCATCTTGTTTTCCAAAGCTATCATGCCTGCTACTATCCAGCCCACAAAAATCGACCTCGGCTCCTGTCATGTAGGTTAAGCTCATATAGACTGCCTGCCTACACGTCTAACTCAGAGAGCCCAGCCTCATCTGGGGAGTCCCTCCGAAGCCCTCTCCAGATTCCCAAGAGAACCAACCAAAGGCAGAAAGTCAGGGTCAGCAACCTCTTTGGCCTCCGGGTCCTCTGCTGGGCTCATCTTGGCCCAAGCTGGGGCGTGTCTACCGTGGTCTCGGGGATAGGTGAAGCAGAGTCTAAGGCAATTGGGGGAGTGTGAGGGAATGGCAACAATAGAGAGGTCGGACAAGGAATTTTGTTACTGTTTAAATGGACCAATAGTAACTGTTTCCCAGAACCACCCCCAGGTGGTGACTATCTATCTTAGGTATTGTTCGGATCCATCAGAACTTTACTCCAGTGCCAGGATTCTAATGTCAGCACAGTTTCTGGATGGGAGCCCTGGGCAGAGCATGGAGTCTGAGCCTCATCCTGACCTTGATCCCCATAAAGGTTCTTTTTAGCTGTTTGCGTGCGTGTGCACATGTGTGTGTGTGTGTGTGTGTGTGTGTGTGTGCACGCACACACACAAGCACTTATATATACACACATGTAGAGGCCAGAGGTCAACCTTGGGTGTCGTTCCTCTTTAGCAGTACTCCACTTTGGTTTTTGAGGCAGAATCTCTCACTAGAGCCTGAGGTTCACTGATAGGCTAGGCTTGGTGTCCGTCAAGTCGTAGGATCTGCCTGTGCCCACCGTCCCAGCTCTGGGATTACGAGAGCATGCCACTATGCCCAGCTTCCTGTGTGGGTGCTGAGGATCAAACTCGAGTCCTCCCCTTGTGCTACAAATCCTGGATTCACTAAGCTACCTCCCCGCCACTTCTTTCTTTTGGTCTAGTGTATCATGGTGTATACCTGATGGCCTGGCACTAACTGTGTAACTTAGGCTGGCCTTGAACTTTTGGCACTCCTTCTGCCTTAGCTTTCTGAATGTTGGGATTACAATGTGTACCACCATGTTCAGCCCTCTAGAATTTTAATTGTCCCTCATATATTCTCAGCCTGGACCTCCGTGAGAACCTGCCATGGGACTGTGCGCTGATCTATTGCAGTAACCTGCCTTCCTTGCTGTTTCCAATAGCAGATGATTTAGGAGTGTGATCTGGAAAGGGGGGTAGCTGAAAGTGCGTGTGTGAGAGTGTGTATGTACTCGTGCCCTCCTAAGTTGAAGAGTTAGCTAATTAGAAATAGTAAGGCTTCTGATGGAAGCCCTGCACTCTAAGGCTACAGAGGAGATGGAAGTGATGTGCCCCCGTTACCATGTTTGCTTCCTCCACCTTCAAGGAGCCATGCTATGTGTTGGTTTCTGGGGCCTTAGAACGTACAAAGCGAGCCCAGGTTTTGGCACTGTCTGTATATACCATCTCTCCTTCTACACCCCTTAATGAAGTGTGCAGCTCTTGTCCTCATTAGGCCTCTGCATTGTTGACAAGAGAGTCAATAAGCCTGGCTGGTGGGGTTGGGGTGGAGAGGCTGAGGTGCAGCACAGCCCATCCACGGGGCGACATCAGCTCTGCCGTGTGTAGTGACCCGGTGTTCAGGGATCAATACCAGGCTGAGGATGAAGCCTCAGAGCCTGCCCTCTGTTGTCTCCTCCCCAAACCCACTGAGGCCAGGGTGGGGCAGTGCCAGCCAGTTCCAGCTTTGCCTGCTGTTTGCGACCCCGTGGCACTTTAGGTGCCAGATGCTTTTGTGTTTTGTTTTTATTTGTTGTTCTTCTGCTTGTTTTTCTGATGGAACCCTTTGGACATCCCGTGGATGCATATTTAGTGAGTGCCCACCTGGCAAGAGGACCTGCAGACGGCATCTCCAAGTAGCCCAGAGGCCAGCATGGGTTCCATTCTCTGCATCTTCTGTCTGCTGACAGCGTGGGAGGAGCCCCAGCAGACAGGGCGCATATTCTGCGTGCTGTGTGGCTGGACTCCGTTTCTGACTGTTCTGCCTCTCACTAGATACCCTTATCTTATCTAATTACAAGGAATTTCAGATTAATTTTGCAGCCTCTGCTCCCTAGGACCTCTTATCTGTGAGGGCCTTGCATTTTAACCTTGTCATTCTTTTGTTGTTTGCCTTTAAGGGGTGATGGCTAGAAGGGGGGGTAATGTTGGAATTGGGGTGGGGGAGGGGAGGAAGAAGAAGGCAGAGATCTGGACCGCTGCCTGTGCGCGGAGACAGCTGGCTGCTCTCTTCCATGACAGCCACATGGTACCCAGCCACACAGACAGGACCCGGGCAGGGACTCGCCTGCTGCCAACCCCTCCAGATCTCTCTGATATTTCCGACAGAGCAGTAAAGGACTCTTGACTATCATGGTTTTCTTTTCCTTTTTTTTTTTTTTTTTTTTCTTGCTCTGCCTCTTTCCGCCTCCTGGAAGACTCCTCTATGTCGTTTCCATGGCTACCCCCAATCAGATTTGGCTTCCTGCGAAATTGGATTTCAAAGAAGGACAAGGCTTCAAAGGAATTTGTCCATTTAACAGAATGTCATTAGGAGTGAGGCTGGCTGCTGAGACGGGGTCCTCAGATGATTAAGGAGGGGCAGCATTCATGTGTGGAGGCGGGCTTCTGTCTGCAACAAGGAGCCTTGATGTAACATGACAATAGCGTATTGGAAGCTGCCAGTTATCACCACCCGTACCTGACTTACACCCCCTCTGCTCCATGTCTTTAAAACCCAGAGATCCACGGAGGCTGGGCTGGGGGGGATGCATGAGGAACACCTACCCTGTGAATTTCTGCTTCTCCCTAGGTGGGAGCGCGCTATGACAGGGGGCGAGGCCTGGGGTTCTGCCCATTGTCAAACAACTCATGAGCTCCTGGCCTACTGGACAGTGTTGCCCAGGGAACTTAAATAAGAGGGGACACTCTGGGCCCCCTTCAGATCCTAGAAATCCTCCGCCTTTTACTAAAGAGAGAGGGAGGGCTTGTCCTCCCTTTCCATTGTTGAAAGAGAAATTGAGGAAGAGTCCATGTGACAGAGGGAAGGCTGCAGCCTCCCCTCCTGAAGAACAGTTTTACGTTTACAAGGAGGATGAGAATAGCTCAGAGGATGCACACAGAGCCTCCACTTCTAAACACACATGTACCCCCAAATAGTTCCAGAGCAGTTTCGGTTTTATCAGGGATACAGCAAGGTAGGGAAAAATGCCCCAGAGGCAGCTGTTACCCGATCTGGAAGAGACGGCCAATCCTGCTGCTATAGTCTCCCCAAGAGCAGCACCAAGGAGCCTGTCTCCCTGACGACTGGACCAGTCTCTATCCCTTCAGTTCAGCTTCTTGCAGCTTTCGGATGGGTCATGAGGTCCTGAAACCAAGGTATTTGCTTCTTTTCAGGGTATCAGGATATGATTAAAAACAAACAAGCAAAACCACCGAATGCCTTAAAAGTGAAGCCCCTAACCTTGAGGCTGCATTTGGCCTTGGGCCCAGTTTCTTCTTTCTGCTCTGGCTTCTTTTGCATTGAAATGAGCATCACCCTCACCCCCAAGACTGAAGCACAAGCCATTTTACCTTTCTCCCTATGTCCTCTGTTACCATTCCCAACCCTCCTCCCTCTTCCTCTTTCTCCTCCCTCCCTCCCCCCACCCCTCGATGGTAGAAGTGAAGGAAGATGTAGAGGCCACAGATAGATCATTTTCACCTGCGAAGTCCTCCCATCCTTTCAAAGTCTGGTCTGGTATTTGGAGACCACGTCAAAGGGCACGTACCCCTCTAAGTGTCCTCCCCCCACCCCTTCCATCTTTTCCTTGCATTCACGCTGTTTCTTATATCATCCACGCCACTCCATTTTCTTCATGGCCCATTGTACTTAACAAAACCAAACCAACCAAACAACTAATCTTGGAGTAATTGTGAACTCACAGACAGCTGGAAGAAATACCACACACATGAGGGTCTCGTGCACCTTTGCCCAAGTTCGCGCTTGTAGAAACATCTTCAGTACCTACCTGCAATCCAGACTTGGGCACTGACTGTGCTTTGAGAGGGGGAGGGCACAGCCCTGCGACCTTATTGATCAATCGCTTTTTCTTCTCCTCTGAAAGAGAGCTGTTTCCCAACTCTCTTCTCACAGATCCTCACTTGAGGAGGGGCACTTTGACTCTGTGTGTGTGCTGCCCTCTGATTCTGACAGATGTTGGGGAGCTGTATCATCACCGAGATCTCTGATTAACCAACACAGCTTCTGCCTGGACAGCGAGTTGGATCAAAATTGAGGCACTATGTATGCCCTTAACAGGGCCCAAGTTCTTTCTTGAACTCTGCCTCTGAACCCCAGTTCAGGAACCACTAAGGACTTTTAAACCTGATGCCCCAAGGCCAGTGCTTAGATGTTCCTCCAAGACCGCTGTTTCTTTGGAGTCTAGGCAATCCTTTGGTGCGGGATGCAAAGGGCCACGCCTTTGACCTTGCGTGCTACCCCAGTTAGGGCGCGAGCCCTTGCGTGCACCTGCGCCCAGGGTCTCCGCGCCCGCAGCCCGCTGCGCGCGCCGCTTCCTGAGCGCGGCCGGCGGACCCGCCCGGCTGCTGGGCCCCAGGCGACAGCTGAGGTACAGGTGCCCCGGGTGCAACTCGCCTCCCCTCTGCTTGCCGCCGCCATCGGAGCAGGCCTTGCGTCCCTTGTCCCGCCTTCCGCTGCCGCCGTCTTCCCGCCCGCGCCAAATGCAGGCTGTCGCCCTCCCCGAGGAGATCCGTTGGCTCCTGGAAGGTAACTCCTGGCACAGTGCCAGACCTCTGTTCTGACCCCTCAGGGAGGTCCCTTCAGCTCTGGGCTGAAGGCGAGAAAGGAGACACTAGGGCACTAGCCCTTCAGCCCTATCACTCACCTAATATAAGCTCCACTCTTCCAGAGTCCTCCATACCACCCTTGTCCCCAAAGCCAGTCTCCCATCCTCCTACCTCAGGGTCCCTACCACTCCCCCAGACACACACTTTCTGCTCCGTTTAGGCGTCTACATCACTGGGCATCGCTTCTAGGTTTCTAAGGTCTTGCCGGCCAGGTTCATGGTGTCCCCTGACACCTTGCCTGGTCTTGAACCTGTCTCCCAGGGAATCCCTAAGGCCCCCAATCCTGACTCCTCACCTCACAGAAGACCCAGGCCTATCTGGGTAGAAATCTCCTTAGACATACAATGGGACTCTGTGGAATTTTACCAGTCTTTGGGCCAAACCTGGTGATTAGGAGACTTCTTACAGGTGTGGAAACCCAGGGCCTCCTTTACCAGCCTTGTGAACTTCAAAGGGTGTCATCTGACCCAAGGAAAGCCTCCTTCCCTTTCTAGAAGGGTCCCATTGTGATGACTTCACCTTCAAACTATGGTGTCCTTCAGAGTTAAGGTCACACTCTGACACTTGATTCATACTCCTGGCACTCCAAAGAGCCTCCCCTGGTAGGCAAGATCGCCTGCTTGGCTCATAGTTTTCCTATGAGTGACCTTCCTGGGAGGACGGAGGCCTGGAATCTGCAGTTGCATAAGGGTCTCAAGAGGGAACTGCTCAGAATTAAGCCTTTTGGCATCCAGGCGACATATTTGACACATAGTTAACAGATGGCCTGCTTTGGGCAGGTCATGATTTTGGCAAGCTGCATTCTTTTCAGTTTCTCTCAATTTAATTGGTTTTATATCTCCATTACCTTGTTATCTTGGTATAAATGCCCCCTAATCAAGAGTTTGGCAAATGCTTTTGGTTTCTGTTTGTAGCACTGTTTTTATTCTGGATTGTTTCTCTGTAAGAGCTGTCATTTCGGCTTTTCTTTTGAGGTGATGCTTCAGAAAAATCTATTTAGAAAAAGCTTTTTGTTTCGTGAGTGTGTGTTTGTGGGTGTGCACATGCCACACTGCATTTGTGGAGTTCCAATGGCAGCTGTTTCGATCCTACCACCCTCTGGGTGCTGGAGATCAAACTCAGGCCTTCGGGCTTGGTGGCAAGCCCCTCTACCCACTGAGCCATCCTATGGGGGAGGGGAAAGGGGTGTTGAACACAGGACCTTCTCAAATGCTTGTCAAATGGTCTACTACTTTCTCCCAACCATCTCAGATCCGCTTAGCTTGTGAACCACGTGAAGTCTAAACTGTGGGAATCAAAAGTGATTGGAGGATAGAAGAAATCACCCGGGCATCTAAAGAGAGGCCGTTGGTTTACAGTATTAGATACAGTAAAGGAATGCTGCCATTGTCTTTGGTTTCTAGAGACGGAACTGTGGCCACGAGGTTAACTCTACCCTTGGATTTAAAGACAGAGCGTTTCTTTTTATCAGCGTCCGTCATTTTTTGAGACGAAATCCATTTTACAAGCTTGTTCAGCAATGCTTCAGTGTCGAGCTCAGCCTTGGTAGAAAATCCCCTCTGGTTTCCAGAGGCTTGCGACGCTCGCAGTCCACTCCTTTGACGGGTTTGACGTGCGGTTCTTTACTGTTCAAAACTGACACTTTGGTAAACAACTCATTTTTGCACCTGCCACCTTCCTTTAGCTCAGATTATTTTCTTGTTAGCTGACCGTTTTTAATTGAAGTCTTCAGATCTCCTTCTAAAGCAGAATCTTTGTTTGCTGACAAGCAGAGCAGCCTATGAATGGAGATTAATTGCACGTCACACACTTCTGTATCAAACTTGCTGTCTTAACAGCCCCTGATAGTGCTGGGCTCTTCAGGATGTATGGAGGAGTCTGAGGTTACATTCTGAGGAGCTTCGCTGGTTAACTCTTTCTTTGAAGCCATTTTACCTTTTATCTATTTATTTTTTTTAAGCTTGTAATTATCGTCTTGAATCTGGAGTGGGGGAAAATGTGAAGTGGGATCCAACCAAGGAAAAATGATCAAAGGGTATGTTTTTGAAAGGTTTGCATGAGAATAGCAACATATTGGTTAGAGATTGGTTTATTTATTAATTTTTTAATGGGATGCGGTCTCTGGTGCAAACCAGCAAAATGATTTGTTCTGTTACCAACAATTTGTGGCTATTAGAAATCCAAGATGGCCATCAATTTGCTGTCTGTGGCTGGTTACACATCTCCTCCCACCACCCACCTTTTAAGGTTAACTGTTAACAATTAGAAAATATGTAGGTCCTGATCTCTGTGTAGTCGCTCAGTGGGAGGGAGTCACAGGATATGAGAGCGGAGACTGCCGCGGCCACGCAGCATGGGAGGTGGAGTTTCCACAGTGAATTACTGCTTTCATAAACCAAGCCATAAGCATTTGCACAGTGATTTAATGCCGGCCATCACGGCCATAACTTAAACATTTATTTATTTCTAACAACAGGAGCATAAAGTGACAGGGACATTTTTGATCTAATGTGGGTGCTTTAAAAAATAAAATATGCAAAGCACTGAGAAAGGTTTATACCAAAAATTTTGCATAATGAGCGTTTAAAATTAATTTTAAATATAAAAGTTTAAGTATTTGAAGATGTCTCATTTGACATGAAAACCCTACTTCTAGGACTCTGTTATAGAAATTAAAGACATAGAATAGATGTACAAAAGTTGATCCCGGATGCCAGTGAGGTGGGGAGAGCAGGTGACGGTTGAATGACTCATTGGACATCCGTCTTAGACAGACACATAGACAGATCTCCTGCATTCTTTGGAATGGATACAAACTGTCATCTGTCTATCTTAGTTTGCAACATGTCCATTTCATGTTTTTAAGACTAAAAAGGTGAAATACACATTAGTACAGATCAGCCCATTTTCACTTGGAAACAATAAGCCAAAAAAAGTTCTGTACATTATGTGTGTTTGGATAAGCTTCAGAAAAAGTGCAGATGAGGGTGTCCCAGGCTCTTAACAGTTTCCTTTTAGGGACAGTGAGTGTTGTGGGAGTTAGTGATTTTTATTTCAGAAGTCTTCATATTGTTTGGATTGTGGCAAAGGTCATGTATTACTTTTGTAATCAGGAAAGAATCGTCAGTCAGGTTATGAAAAAAAAAAAAAAGGAAAGAAAGACAAACAGAAGCCCCAAGAAGTGAGGGATTTAAAGGGCTGTTGACTATACGTGTGATTGTTTTTTCCTGTTTAGCCATGGGAGGATGTGTGCAGTTTCTGGCAAAAGACAAAGTGCAGAGAAGCCTCTAGTAACCCAGAAGCATCCTCTTCCAATCTGCCCTATCGAGCCACAGGGACAGAAACTGGTCCCATATCAGTGAATCAGTGAATAGAACATGCACAGATAAGGAAACTGGGCATCTTCTGCCTTATTGAAAGAGAGGAAATATTCAGGTCTGTTTTCAAGTGTCAGGCTTCAGATGCAGAAGTTATCTTTCTGCTTTTGTGTTGTGATAACCGTGCTGAAAACAAAAACAATGGAAGGCTGGCAGTTTGCTAATCTTTGTTGTACGGATGCAAACATATTATCCTCCTTCTGCTCTTCCTAGCGCTGCCCCCCCACCCCACCCGGGGTGTGTGTGTGTGTGTGTGTGTGTGTGTGTGTGTGTGTGTGTGTGTCTGTCTGTGTCTCTCATTTTAAGCGTGAAGGAGGTGCAACAGATGCTCCCTTGGTTCATAATACAACCTGCTGACCTCACCCTAATAGCTGACCTCACCACTTGCCTAGCCAGGGCTAGGAATGTGGACTGAAGGTCACTGCCTGCTGCAGCAGTGAGTGCTCCCTAGCACCAACCCTCACATCCCAGTGGTTACCTCCTGTTCAACTCCGGCCGTCATTAGCCATCGCCTCCCAGATAGTTCTCCAGATCTGCGGTGGTAGACATAGACGAAACTGTAAAAACCCTGCCAGTGCAGCAGAGCTCCGACTCTGAGGAAATTGAAGCAGCGAGTTGCTCCAGTTGGCAAAGGTTCTCTTAAACCGTCTTACTTACAAACACTCTTGATCAATTCTCTTAAAGATAATTATGAACTTACCCCATTTCCAATGAATCTCTTTGAAATACGTTTAAACCCAGCATTATGATAGTGAAACTGTTATTGGTTGTTCCTGGGTTGGCTGGTGACAGCCCATGTCTGATGTGTTAGTTTATATGGAGCTGGGGACGGAACCCACGGCTTCATACGTGCTAGCCCAGGATCTGTCTCCGAGCCATACTCCGCTCCGCTTTGTGCTCTTTGCTCCTGTCGTTTACCACTCACTTAGTGACACTGAGGCCTGTCCCTATTCAGTTGACTGATCTGTGCCTTCAGTGTTTCTGGATAATCATTAGATAATCGAATATTTTGGGGTTATGTGTAAAAGTGTGTATAAAGGGCATCTTTGGTCTGGAGATGTGGTTCACTGGTATAGGACTTAGCTGATATTCCAAAGGTCTTGGTTCTATTTCCAGTTGTGTGTGTGTGTGAGAGAGAGAGAGAGAAAGGTTATGTGCTGGAGTGAGAAGTTTCTCCCTGTGGCTTCCAGTGACTGAAGTTAGGCCATAAGCCTTGACGGCAAGCACCTTTTACTCTCTGGGCCATCTTGACAGCCCAAAGTGGCTCTCTCAGTAAACAAGTACCTAGGCTCTCAGGCATGGACTTTGTGATGTGTTTGGTTGCTTTCCTTTTTCCTTTTTTTGTTAACTTTTGATCCTGGTGTCCTCACAGACAGGTGAGTTATGGCACACCTGAATCCTAAGTTCTAAGATGTGAGCTTAGTTGTGCTTAATGTTATTTTCACTATCGAAACTTCAGAAAACATTAAGTAGACAATCCCCTGTAGCAGGTAATTCTTAAATTTCCGTGCATCCCATGTATTTTCATGGGATGATATCATGG